GGGGGGGGGGGGGAGGGGGCGTGGTTAGCACACAAAACCTTCTCCCTCCTGCTTTGCCCCACAAGCACTTCCAGATGGACTGGGTTGAAGGCAGATGGGAATATAGAGGGCTGCCTGTCTCAGTTCTCTCCTTTCCCTGGCTCCCTGCAGAATCCCATGGGGTTTTCACTTTCACTGGGAAAAAGCAACAACCTCAAATTCTCCCGCCAGATCTTATCTCTGCTCCAAGGTATGCACACAGAGGAAATGGGGCAGGGCTGAGAAATCAAGCTCCTTTGTATGAGCACTTTCCCCAGCAAGGAGATTAGGATTTCCCCATCCCATTTGCTGCACAAAGTGCTTCCCTTTCCTCTCCATCCCCTTCCCTGCAGTCAACAGAGTGACTCCTTGGGCAAATTTTAGCTGAGACAGAAGCAGGGAGTATCTCTGCAAGCAGAACATAGCTGAGGCTACAACTGGGCTTCCAAACCTACTTGAGCAATTTTATTTCCAGCTCAAAGGAACAGCTGAAGTCAGTACAGGGTTACAAAACTGTCAGGATAGCTTTAGCCTAGGTTTTGGCCAAGATGATGGCTGGAGGCAAGCTGGAGGAGGCCTCACGGGGGAAGGAATGGCGTGGGCAACACCCAGTGGCTGTCTGTGTCATGGCAGGGGCAAGTATCCATGGCACCATGCAGAGAGCCCATGACCTGTTTCCTAGAAGAAACAGAGCCATGCAACAGCAGAGTTCTAGCCATGCTAACCACCCCTTTGAGAACTTGTTAGCACAAGCACAGAGTCACCAATCACAATTTCTAGGTCTCCAGCTTGCTTGTTCAATAATCAGTGTTTTGCCCCATACTTTGCCTCAAACAGCTTCAGCAATGGTCCTGCAAGCTACTTCAATTGTATTGGAAGGAGAGCTCAGCATGTGCAAGTAGACAGATATACAAACTACGTTTCACACATATAGCAAGCCTCTCCTCTCTCTGCATTGCTGTGTGGGATAGGTGACAGGGCAGAAAAAAACACTGAGAAGATCAAAACTAGGGCTTGGGAACTGGAGAGGGAACAACAACCCTCTTTTTAGGAATTCAATGGTTCCCTGTTTAGGAATTCAATGGTTTGAATGATGTTTAGGATGTGGCTAGGTCCCAGTCTCAAGGACTTTGTGTTCCTTGCCCTTCCGTAGATATGTACCTGTACCTGAGAGTCCATTGCTGCTCCACTGGAGTTGTGCTGACACAATTTATGTTACCTTTGGACAGGGCTTGGGCACATTGTCTAGCAGCCCATGCACACTGCAGGCACTTGTGGAACTCGCTGCCACATGACGTCCTCCAGGATTGCTCTGGAGATACCAAGACATAATGTTTCATGTCACTTAATTGAACTGCCTTACTCAGATCCGACCATGAATTGAACTTGCAGAAATTTCCCTGGCAGCAGGGTCATTCAGGGGTTTCACTGAGGTGGGTTGTTGCTGAAGCTGCCTGTGCAACTGCTCAGCACAGGAAGCAGCCTTTGAAACTCAGAAGCAGTGCTGCATTGACTGAATGGTAAGCTGGCTCAACTCCACAGTTTCTCTGTGCCCTCCTAGGACTGCAGGATTTTGCAGTGCCAATCTTTTCACCCTGAACCCTCCTCCCACCTGCAAACAGTGGCAGCAGCAGCCACCCTATAACACTTCTTACTCTCAAAGCCCTGCAATGCATCAGTAAGGCAGGTGCTCATAGCTGCCAGATCCATAGTACCTCTGGGACCACTCTCTTCAGCTTAATTTTAGTGACTTGGAGGCAATTTATCTGGACTGGTGACTCATTCCTCTCCCTCTCTTTTCTCCTGCCCTCCCCTTTCCTCTTCTCACTCTGCCTTTGCCTGGCAGTGTGCCTGAGTACCAGTACTGATATGACTGCCTATGACGTGAGCTCAGGATAATTAATGCAGAACTATTTTGGTGAAAGGGTGTCCCCAGCAACTTGCAGGAGCAGTTCCCACAAAGAGGAGCCTAGGTCTGGGTGTCCCTTCTGAAAGCCTGCACAGGAGGGAACGGCTTGCTAGGCTCCGTCAGGCCGGGCCTGAGGGGAGAAATTTTTTTCCTCTGAACACAGAAGCTGAGAAATGGAAGGGCAGAAGCTGAGGCACGATCACACGGATGCCTTTGCCGGGCAGGCTATTTGCTCCTTGCTGAGGAATGCTAGGGGCTCAGCAGAGAACTTAGCCACTCAGTGCATAAAAGAGGCCACATCTCCTCAGCCCACACTGGCTGGGGCTCCCCTGCATGGTGCTGACTGGGATGTCACTGTCAAAGGAGGGTACACCTAGGAGGTGCCTTGGACTCTCCAGCTGTCCTGTTGCTCAGTGAGTCATGGCTGTGTCCTTGAGCTGCAACAACACAGACATGGCAGGAATGTACAGTCCATTTATTGGGTCTTGTTCGCTGTAATGTAATCTAGGGATCTGTGAGGGAGGGGAGGGGTGGCTGGGGTGGGGTGAGTGTGGGAAAGTTGTGCAAATGGACAAACCGTTGCTGTAGACCCACAACAGTCTTTCAAGCCAGCAGAAGTAAAAAGCACAGTGACCACCACAAGGTACTGAGCTCCGGGATGCTGGAGCCATCACTCTCCTGCATGTCGTGCAGAGCCTGGCATCTGGACAGGGCCGGGATCTGTAGCCAAAACAACGACAGGCCTCATGAAACCAGCTCAGCCATTTTTCTGCTCTCCCTCCCCCTTCCTGGTGGTGGGAGAAGGATGAAAGGGCCTGGATCCTAGTTAGAAAACTCCCTCTCTTTTCTCTCCTCAGGTTCTGAACAGCTTTGCCTCTTGTCCCAAAGTCCCTCTGCTTCCTCTGCTGCATTGAGTTGAAAAGGAAGAATAGGAGGGGATAATATGAGAAGTAAAGAAGTCCTTGGGGGGCAGCAGCTGTCTGCTGACAAACAGCAATACAAGAGACCCCTTGAGGTGAGCAGGGACTGAGAAGAGCAAGGGCTGTCTGGTCAGTTTCCCATAAATAAGCAAGAGCTTTTTTGTTAATTCTTTTTTTCCTATGGACAAAGGCTGCGGCTTCACAGACCTCACAGCAGGTCATCCCCAGGGCAGCTTGGAAGCTGTTCCCTCTGTGGCAGAAGGTGACAGACAGCCCTTCGTGAGGGCAGAAGTGGAAAATCGTGCACCTCCGCACACCAGGAGATGGGGGCAAACCTGCACATGAGCAGGCAGTAAGGAGGGGCAAGCGGATAGGGGGCTGTGTGCTCCATCATACCATCTCCAGTTCTCTCCCTGCACAGAGCTGCTGCCTCTCTCTCTTTCTCAGGATGTCCCATCCCACCAGGCACAGCAGGCCATAGGAACACAGCAGTCCTGACTGTCTGGGTCCAGGAGCAGGGAAGGACTGGCAGTATCCTGCCCAAGGATCCCTTTCTCACTTACCCTCCTAGAGGAGGCTGCATATTCGTTTCTTTGGCCGGGTGGGCTGCGGACAGAGCACTGCTCGGATGGCCTCGTCAAACACTGTCTTGAGGCCACGTTGTGTCAATGCCGAGCACTCAAGGTATTTCACAGAATCTGTTGGGAGGAAGGCAGGTGCTGTGATGAGGAGGAAGGGAATTGAGGGTGGACAGGGTGGGTATCCAGGAGTTTGTAGTGAAGGATCCTCAATCAGAAGAGAACCATGCAAGAGGAATACAACAAATCAACGTCAAGCAGAGAGACGCACATGTCTGTATCACTGATACTCTTCTGGTTCCCATCACCTCACAGTTCCAACACACTCCCCTCCCAGTACCCATTTTACAGAAGGATCCTGAGGCACATACACATCCCCTAAACACCAAGTGAGTCTCTTCTTGACAGGTCTTATTCTCAAGCTTTGAGCGTCATTCAGACCATCTCTCCTCAAGGACATCTGGTAGCATCTCGAATAACGTGGCCCCCTCCATTTTGGGACTTTGAACCCCTGTGTTCTCAGAGGCCCTGCGCTGGAGAGCAAGGCACCTAGCTCTTACCTGTATTGAATAAGCCCAATTCGGGTGCTAAAATCCAGTAAGCATGCCCAGAACACACTTCACTCACTCAAGCAGTCTTGACCTGGCAGGGGGATTTGTGCATGTCACCAAGCACGAGAGGGAGCTGATGCCCAGAGGTGAATGCTAGGGCGAGACACGTACTTGGGGCTGCATGTATAAACCCAGTTACAAGAGGCAGGAACAGGAAGCCGCAGTTGCAACTCTTCCTGAGAGAGGTTAGAAAACTCATTCTTCTGCCTGTTTCCGGATGGTGGAGGAGAGGCCCCTGCCTGCACAGCAGCTGTGGCTTTCATAGCAAAATATTGGCCCAGATAGAGGCAGCAGAGAAAAAGGGGAGGGGAATGTGAGAGTGTATATATGTTGGGGGCGGGGAGGATGGGAAGGAAAGAGACATTGGGTGCTGAGGTTCCCTCATGACTAGATATCCTTTCTGAGCTTCCTGAAGTGCATTTTGTTCCACAACCCTTAATGAGTCTACCAGTCTCCCTCAGAGAAACTGTCCATGGTCTTTGACCACTGTGAGATGCCTCCAAGGAGGCCTCATTAGGCTGAGGGGAAGCCATTACCTCTCTTTTCAGTAGGTCCAAGATGTTACCCCCAAGCACATACCGATTTCCTTGGCCAGGGCAAGGCCCTGAGGATATGTAATGGGGGATAGCTTCTTTTCCTTCAGCTTCTCAATGGTGTCCTTGTCATCACGAAGATCCAGCTTTGTGCCCACCAGGATGATGGGAGTGCTGGGGCAGTGATGCCGCACCTCAGGGAACCACTAGCAAGAGAGCAAAAAGACAAAGATGTAAGAGGAAGTAACACAAATGGACATGCTTTAGGGAAACAAAGAAGCACCCCTGAAAAACTAGCAATAAGTGGCTAACACCATTTCCTTCCACACTGCCCTTTCATCCAGCGTTGGGTACTGTAGCCTGGCCAAGACCAGCCCCTGTTACAGGGTCCACAGAGGCAAAATCCCTGAGTTGGAGCTCAAAGCATGAATTTGATTACTCAGGAACTAAAATACCAGAGTAGTGGAGTGGTGAGTGGGGAAGGGAGAGCCACAGCTGAACACTGTCTATTAAGCAAGAGCTCAAGTTGCACTCTATCCTTCACGGCTCCCCCAAACCCAAGGAGGAACCAAACGTTGCAGGAAGGAAACACTATGTTGTTTTCCTCTCCCTCCAACTCTTCATTCTTCCCTCACTTCCTAGCTAAAGGCTGTGTACCTGCTTCTCATATCCTATAGATTTGTCCTGAAAGTAAGAGCTGTGCTGTGATTGGCTTAGCTGAAAGATGCCCTCAAAATATAAGCCTATGGTTCACCTTGAAGTATCCTAGCAAGATGAACACTAGCCCTTTAATACAGTTGGCCATCTCCTTTGAGATGAGCCAGAAAAGAAATCCGTAGGAGGCAGATATTGTAGTTCCTTCTGACGCAAAAAAGATACTACTTCGCTGGGTCTACACAGATCATTAGCAGTCTTCACCCTCAATTGCTGTCTTTGTAAGACTAGCATCAAACTCCCCCTCACCCTCCACAGCCCCTCTTTGACCAGGATGCTTTGTCTCACCTTAGCACGGACGTTCTCATAAGATGCCGGGCTGACAAGGGAGAAGCAGATCAGGAACACATCCTGTAGGCACACAATCGCAGTGTGGAGTTAGGGTGAGACCATGGGATTGCATGACAGGAGGCAGGGAGAGGAGCCCAGAACAGGGCAGGCAGCATCCTCCCTCCGCAGCAGGAAGGGCCATGCTGGGAAAAGCTGTCCCTCACAACCAACACAGTCCTGACTGCTACTACTTGCCTCTAGAAGAAAGAAGGATATTTGCTCCCCTGACTCATGGTAACCATAGCCACCACTATCAGAAGAGCCAAACTGTTAGCTCTGAGGATGGGGTTTTTGTGGTAGGCACGCTCATCCTCACAGGAAATGGTCTGACAGTGTCCTTTTCATTTCTCACAGATCACCACAGAGCTATCAGGCCAGAATAATTTTGCCTGCTCTTGATACAAGGCTAGGTTCAACCCAAAAAGTACATATGCAAGATAGAAATGAGGTGAAGTCTAAGGACCCCACATAAGCACTTCTCTTGCGCACAGCAGAATTTAGACTTCCATTCAAAACAAAACAAAACAAAACCAGCTCTTCAAGATGATATTTATTTCAGCCAACTTTCACTATCTAGAACAAGTGTGTCAGGTCCAACTTACCCATTTCCATACTTCCACGTTCACCAGAGATGAATACCTCAGAGCACAGTTCCCCCTCACCTATCCTTGGCACTTGTCCAAGGGTGGGTATAAGCATGTGATTGAGAAATATGCCTGTCTGCCCTGATTGTAGAAGGACCCTAGGCAAGTAACTTACAGCAGGTGACCAACTTTTAGGTGACTGAAACTAGCTGAAAAAAATACTGCTCTCAACTCCTAGCCCTTTTGTTTGCAATGGCAACCTTCAGACAAAAGCCTGAGGCAGAAGGGCCTTTTTGAGCTTGCTGGGAAACTGCTTGGAACAACATCCTCACGAAAAGGTGACCTTGAAGCCCTGAAACCAACTCGGTGACCAACTGGTGAACTCTGTCTGAGGAGGAACATCCACTTGTTCTGTTAGAGGCTTGGGCTTAACTGAGGCATCAGCGGATCAAATACAAGTATCTACACAGTACATCGCTTTTACAAGGCAAGAGCCAGAACAGTTCAGGCTCCCAAATAAGGTTCACAGAAACATGAAAAGCTCCTGTGTCAGCTCCTACATCCCCTAGGCCACTCTAACTTTATAAGAGGAGATTTGTTTTTACCCAGACTCCATGAGGCATCTGTCCCCCACTGAAATCAATGCCAGCTGGGCACATAAATACCTTTGAGGATCTCAGTTTTCTTGCTAGGTGGTACCAGTAATGAAGTTTAGATAAAGGCTCCAAAATCCCTTTTACCTCTGGAGTTTTCAGATACTTGTATATTAACAGAATTATCCTCAGAAAAGGGCAGAGAGAGAAAGGAACAGTCCTGTCACCACTGAATGGCAAATGCTGGTTCTGCAGCAGGGAAAGGAGGCATCTGAGGGAAGCACAAGGGAGGAGGGGCAGAGAGTGTGACCCACCGTCTGTGGGTAAGAGAGGGGCCTCAACCGGTCATAATCCTCTTGTCCAGCTGTATCCCATAGCCCCAGATTTACAGGCTTGCTGTCAACCATCACGTTGGCGGAATAGTTATCGAACCTGAAATGAAGAGACACAGACGGTGGCTCAAACAGGGGGAAAAGGAACTGTACGGTGGCACTGTAGGGTGGGCTGAGCAATCCCATTAGGTGCACCTCAGATCAAAGGGTAGTGATTCACCCTCTCAGCTCACCCGGCTGATGCTGTTTTCCTGTGATCCTTTAGCTCAAAAACTGTTCATGCAGCATCACCTTCCCATCACCCCGCTGTTCTAGACAGGTGCCTGGCTGCAGCTCCACCTTCTCCATCTCACGTGCAGATCCTTAAACTCTTTCTTTTTTCCACATGTCTCATCAACACCCTTTCCATGACTGTTCCTGCTCTAATCAAGCCTCTGCCCTTTCTCTTGTGCTCTAGAAACCAACTTTTTTCTTAAAAGTTACACACTGTCTCTGTAGCTCCCCTAGAGCTCTGCACTCCTCAACCCCCCTGCAGGAATTGAGGCCAATATGCCAAGATTTCCCCTCTTTTCCCTTTGTGAAAACACGACATGAAATATTTGAGAATGGTAGTCAAAATTGCATGCTTCAGAGCAAGACATATTGGAAAAACAGCTATTAAATCAACTGAGGTGTTCTTCCTCCCCAGGGCTTCTAGTAACTTTTCTTTCCTGTCCCATTTGGTATATTTTTTTTATAAGCTTTCAAACTAAGGCAAGGGAAACCAGTGATAGGAAGGAACCAATGCAAAGACCTTGTGAATGTACTCAGGGCATATTCTGCCCTCTTTGTTAGGGAAGCCATGCTGCCCAGGAGAACAAAAGGGCCTCCCTTTCCTGCCTCCAGACACAAGTCTCGGTCATGAAGAGAAATGGTGTGCAGCACGCAAAAAGCATGGCCGCTTCATGGCTACATGCCAGGAAGGGGTGGTACCCTGACGCAAACCAACTTGTGAAAAGAGATGGGTTCTTGCTGCTTCAAACGTGTTGCAAATGGTCTGGAAAAAAAGTGATGCTCTGAGCTTTTCTTGTACCTCTTGGAGAGACAATTCCTTTAGACTCAGCCCAAGGCAACCCTAAACTTGCTCCCTGTTCCAGTAGGCTGCAGATCTGTCCCAGCCTCACACATGTGTCTGCTGGGTTACATAGGGCTTCTACTCTAGCCTTTAGCTGAATCTTGCTTTATAGTCTGATTACAGTCCACTATCTTTATAGTCTGATTCCTAGTTGTTCTGCCTAGCCGGACCCCTTCTACTGCCTGTAAACTTAGCAGGCAGCAAGACCCTTAATGTCTCCCAAATGTCACATTTATACCAGCGCTTTATAAAGCTGGTGAAAGGTGAATGATAGATCAGAAGTACAGATGCACCTTTGCTAGTTTGGCAGCCCTTCCTCTGCTGGCATGGAGATTGACCCTGCCTTCAGAGTGCAGAACAGGAGTTTTCTGCCCCCCTTAGTACCCCGCTTGCCTCCCACCCACCCCAGGCCCTGTTTATGTATCACTCACACAGTGGGGATGTATTCTCCTGGGAAGGCATTGGTGGTATAGCTGATAAGGAGACAGGTTTTCCCCACAGCTCTGGAAGATAAAGGAAAAAAAAAAAGAGTCACTGTGGTGCAAGCAGTCTTGCTAGCATGAAATGCAGCTGGGGGAATCCTTCCACACCTCAAAGCTAGTGATACCAGTGGAGACCAGTGTAAGCAGAGACATATTTAGAGTGTGCATAACCACAGGTTAGACAACCAGCAGGAGAAAAGACAGGATGTCACCCAGAACTGTTGTCTTTCAGCACGAAGGCTTGTTTTGACAGGCTGGTACAGAGATCACTCAACTGAAATGCGTCTACTCTGAGGTGGAGGTGAGAGCCCATTTTCCACTATGTGCACAGTGCTGTACACTCAGCCAGGATATGTGTATCAATCTTGTACAAGAGTGTCAGAACAAAGCTTCCCAGGTGGTTATGGCCTCTGAACACAGACACTCGTGCCTAGTCCTGCAGGTGCTGTGGCCGGGGGCTGAGATCACTTCTTGCTGACTTGCCACAACATCTGCCAGTCTGATCTGTCTGTATGACCCAAGAGCTGGTGCAAGCTGCAGTGTCACCCACAGAGAGAGCTGTAAGCAGCCAGCAAGGTGCTTCTCCTCGTGGCTGACTGAGGCTGCTTTTGGTGTTTCTGAGCGAGTAGCTGATGCTTCTTCTCTCTTCAGCCTCCACCACCTGCATGCTACAGCAGGGTAGAGCACAAAGAGCCAGGGTAGCAGCCCAGCCCAGACTGGATGAGAACATTGGTGTGTGGCAGCTGGGAAGGACACAGTCAGACTGCCAAGGGGAGGAGACAGCTGTGTCCTGGATACAGGAAAACCTACGGTGAAGGAAAGAAGAAATGGGAGAGAAACTGGGAGAAGGTAGATCAGCCAGGACAAGTGTAGAAAGGAGAATCCTTTTGCAATATACTCCGCAGTCATCTCTCAGGTCTTTGCGGCCTGGAAAAGTCTGACTGTGCTTCAGATTCCCTATGGAATCTCCAAAGTGAAGATGGCAAGAGCACAAGAGCAACCTGCCTCCTCAGCCTTTGACCACAACTGCAGGACCAGGGAGAGGCCTCTCCTGAGAAAAGTGAGAAGCTGGACTGCCACTGCTGGGAGCACTTGGACTTGCCATGGAGCCATGCTCAGAACATCCCAGTGGTACCTGCAAAGTCTTTTGGCAGGCCCCCGGCATGCTCAGCTGGCATCTTCACCCTGGCCATGAGGCACCTGCCTCAGTTACTGCACTGTCAAGTAGCTGAGGAGGAAATAGTGCTCTTCAGCGTGCTCTGACACTAGGTTCTTCATCCTGTCCCCTCCCTTTCTCTGATCCCCCTCTCTGAGTCTGCTCTCTTTCCCTAGCTTTCCTTTTTCACTCTCATCATAGAGATATTGAGGGAAAGCTGTGGGGGGCTGCATGCTTCCTGAAGCTCTATGAGGAAGGGCTCAGGAGATTTATGGTGAGGGGAGGGCGTTATTCATGGGAAGGGAGTATGGTTCTGAATTAGTGCCAAAGAACTGAGAGGAGCACAAAGGGTCAGTGAAGCAGTGAGGGTTACAGCAAAATTATTGAGGAATGAGGTGGGGTTAGTGCTCTGGACACCTGCAAGTTCTTGGGGTTGAGCTCAGGGTGTGTACTAACACAAGTGATGTGCGATGGAGAGGGATACAGGGCCAGAAGTGCTGTAGGGGAGCATGGGGGACTTAGTGGAGCGATGGCAGAAGGTCTTCTGATTACTGAAGATGAGCCAAAGAAAGGTCTGGTAAGGTTGGGAGGGAGGCCAAAGGAGATAAAGGGGGGATGAAGCAAGAGCAAGTTATGGAGCCCAAACAGTTATAGAGTTGGTGCAATGTGTGAGGGGGAAACTGTGGGGTTAACAGGGCAGTGGGAGAAAGTCCTGTGGATCTAGTAATCCAGCTCTAGTTTCCAACCTGCAAGGGACTTTTCTAAGAGGTAACAATGTTTATTTGGGGCTCACTCTCCTTCCTTGTCCTGCCTCCTCCCCTCCCCCAACCACTTGCCGCAGCCCCTGAGAATATGTCTAAGTTATATTACTATATTTGTAGACTTCTTCCTCTCCGGAAGGGGGAAGTCACTGTGAAGACATTGCAAATGTCTCTTCATCTGCTACTAGATAGCTGCCCCAGATAACAGCCCTGCCAGCTCCTACCTGTGAAATAAATTAACCTGCTCCATGCCAAATATCCCACCCAACTTGTGGACTCTCCTCTGCTCCCCTCATCCGCTAATCCCACAGGGCAGGGAGAGCAGAGGCCCAGTCCCCTTGGCAGTACTTATCAACAGCTAGACTGCCCCATTTCCAGCAGTCATGGGACACGGGCAGAGACACTGCAGTGCTGCAAAGGCAAGGTTGCGTTACCTCCCATGCCCAAAGTGATATATACCTGTGCCCATCTCAGTGGAAACAGCTCCTCCTCCTTGTGCCCACAGAAACCCCTTGCCAGACAGTCACCCCCACACCCTAATGCAGCAATAATGTGTTGAGAAGAGCTGAACATAGATACTGGAGGATATCTCATCAGAACCATAGTGTCATGTCCTGCCTCAGTCAGCCCCTGTGAGCAGATGGCTTTCAAGTGGCCATGCACTTGCAATAGAGTGCATGCACCTCCCAGGTTTTAAACCTGATTCCTGCCTACAGGCTGAATCTGGCAGCAATAATACTATCCCCTGCGTGCTGGACAGATCTGCCAGGCCTCTAAATGATCGTTCTACTTTCTATGCCTCTTTTACAGATGCCCTTCATAATGCCCTCTACTTCTCCCTCCCCCAGCCCTCTCAGAGAGGCGGGTTCCTTGCCTTGATACAGGAAGAGAGAGCAAGAAAGGGAACACAGTTTGCAAAAGGTCAGAAGCAATGCTAGGGAAATTTCACCAAGCAGCGACCTACTTTTTTGCCCCTTGTCACCATCCCTCCCTACCCACATCCACAGAAAAAGAACGGGGTACATACCCATCTCCCACCACGACACATTTGATAGCTTGCATGTCTCTGGACCCGTGGCTGAGGACAGCACCTGGGGCAAAGGAGAGTCAGGCCAAGGCAAACAGCAGGGAGACACAGGCAAATTTGAGTATCAAACCTTGAGCTGAAGTAAGCGGCAGGTTGCAGGGAGGGAGGAAGAGGAAGAAGGAACTTTACTCAATCACCCTCTGGTCCCTCCTCCCCTCCCACCACAGCTCTGCAACCCAGGCCGTTAGTTGCAGGCGGGGCGTGCATGACTGTGGTTTGGAAGATTACTTCTGTAATTTTTTTCTCCCCGCGTGTCTTGCCTCGCTCTCCAACCCATCCCAATGAACAGTTGGGGGCACCAAACTGCTTTTACATGGGAGCTGAACCAAGGTTGGAGAGGAATGAGAAACTGGAGAGATGGATATCCCCTAGTGCTCTTTGTCATCCAACCTTTGGAGCAGGTGTAAACAGGCAGATCTGAGGTGGCAGCAAGAGGTGCAACATGGTGCAACAACGATTTTTCAGGCCTTCCTGGTGTCCCTGAGAGCCAATGGTGAAATGTTACAAGGAGCAATGTTTTCTGTGAAGGCTGAACAAGGGACTTAAGCAAACTGTGGGAAGCAGCAGCTACTCCACGGCTGCTCTATCCCTCCCCTCCTATGGAGATAAGGTTCTGCTGCACGTCTCCACTTGCTCAGATTGCTGGTGCAAAGAAGTAACACAGGTACCTATGTGTTCACCATGAAGTGGTGCAAACACATCAAAGGAGGTAATGAATTTTTTTATCCCCCTGCCACTGCTGTAAGAGCCAAGACTGGGGATGGAAAGGAGTCCCTACAAACTCCCAGTTTCTCCCATATAGCTGCTGCTATACCTCTTCCATCTCTTCCTCAGAGGAAAAAATAGTTTTAGAGCTAGACAGCAAAGAGAATGGAGGAATTGCTTTAAGGAGAAGAGACAAGTAGCAGCAAGATCCTAGGAGGTTCGACTCCTTCCTTCTCTTCCTCATCCCTCCTGAAAATAAGGGTCTGTCTGCTCTTTCTCCCTTCTCCTACCTTGCAATGCCACACCTGGGAAAACGTATGTGTATGCATGTCTGCTGTGCTCCAGCCTGAACTGATGGGCAGACAGGCAGGAGATGCATTTCAGAGGAGAATAGATGTAGGGACACAGGGTTAATTAGAATTCTAGGCTTTGTCAGGTGGTCAATGAGACCAAGAACAGTAGGTTTTTATCTAGGGTATTCTTAAAGGCAAGGAGCTTTGAGAGAAAGTGTTTCTCCAAAGATTGGTGACCTTTGTGCTTCTGCAGCTGTGGGAAGTTGTTATGGACTGACCTACTTGGGAGAAGAGCTCTCCAATCCATCACTCAGTGTTGGCCGCAACCCAGAAACATTTGATACTGGATCCTTTCCAAGTCTTACAGCTATTTCAGAAATGCAAAGCTACCGGCTGTACTAGGTGTTCCCTCTGTTGGTGGTCATGAAGGGAGGAGAAGGAAACTCACTGACTCCTCTGCAAACATGAGGAGGAAAGGGCTGTGGAAATGCAGGTAACAGGGGTCAGAGGAGGACAGGAGGGAGAAGGAGAGAGGTTGCTATAAGAAGAGTAGCAGTAGGAGCTGTAAAGGGCAGGCAGGTGCAGAAGTACAGTGTGACAGGAGATAGGGGCCTAGTCAGAATAGAAGGCAAGTGTATCTGATTCTAGAGAATGTTACTGGTGGATAGAAAAACACTTCCAGTCTGAATCAGACCAGGAATCCTCAAACCAAGCACTGCTGGTAGAATGTGTTATACCTTTCCCCCAGACCCTCGCCCAGCAAGTGTCAAGGTGTCTCTGCAGGCCATAGGAAGAGGATTGTAGCTGTACTGCAAAACCAGAAACCTGTGAAGTGCAACTCATGGGCAGTTTGTTAGCACAAGAGCAGAGTTATCCATGAGAAATTCTGAGCTTTGACAGCAGTACATCTATCCAAAATATCTGGAGAGCTCTAGCTCTCCAAGTCCCCACATCTCAGCTAGAAAGCTTTGGGACATCTGATAGGAATTTATTCCCTGGGAAACTGGATACACTGGGAGCTCTCTGTGGCTGACACCTAGGTAACTGTTGAGGACCCGGGGATCCTGAAGGTCCTGAGGGCTGGGGCTGGTGGAGTCCTTAGGGAATGAGGGAGCACTATTTCCCTGGAACTTGGCCAGGCAGCCAGGGACAGGCAAGCAGGAAACTAATCCTTTCCTGCACATTTTTGGAACTGTATTAGGAATCAGCTTCTCTGGAAGAATGTTTCTGTTTCCACCAGATCTTTTATCTGAAAGTTTCTGATAGACCCTAGGTAGGATAGTGCTTAGGAGAAGTAAGGTGAGCAGAATAGAGAGCAGACACCTGGGGTGCGACAGAGGGAACTGGAGAGAGAAGCGCTAGAGAGAGCTAGAGAATTACAGAATCACAGAATCATTTAGGTTGGAAGGGACCTCTGGAGATCATCTAGTCCAACCTCCCTGTTCAAGCAGGGTCACCTAGAGCATATTGCCCAGGATCACATCCAGAAGGGTTTTGAATATCTCCAGCGAAGGAGACTCCACCACCTCTCTGGGCAACCTGTTCCAATGCTCTGTCACCCTCACAGTTCAATGAGTGTTATTTGGGGCAGAGTAAGGATTATGGACAAAGGAGACAAGGAATGAGATTTAGGCTAAGGGAGACTGGACAGAAAACTGGCCAGTGGCACGGTAGGGCCTGGCGTCAGGACAGAACAAGGACCACTGACCTACTGACTTCAAGCGTGTGTTTCTGTCCTTGTAGTCTCACGTGTGGGCCAGTGGGATCGGCAGTGTGGGAACAAGTGGAGAAGTTAAATGAGAATGAGTTAAAATGGTCATGGAGGAGTGACTGCTTGAGACATGTGTCCAGGTGAGACCCATTTATAAGACTCAACAGTCATCTATGGCAACAATAAGCTGTGAAACTCTTGGCTAGAAGCAGTGTCTCCATCCTCCTCCTGGACAAATTACCTTTGGAAGATAAATGCCTCCTACTACTACTGATAGTCAGTTCTCTTACAAGTCAGAGGTCTGTGCTATGAATTTATAAACATCTCTCCTCTGCCAGTGTCTCTGCAAAGGGATGGTAGGGTTCTAAATGAAGCCTTTTGTGCAAGGGGTTTCTTTCCATCATACTTAAATTACTAAAAAATGGAAAATTACATTCAAATAACACACACTGTAACAGCAAAGCTGCCAGCTCAATCAGTTCAAAATTAGGGAGAGCTGGGCAGAAGCTCTGAAAACAAGCGGTACCTGCTCCTTTTACATCTCTCAGTTGTGCATGTTGAAGGAAGGAAACTGCAGGCTGGTAATCCATAACAAGTGCATACAGCTCTGTTGCTGCTTTGATCTGCTCTCACACCACCAAGAGGTGCTCTTGACATGGGTTCCCTTCTGCATGTGCAGCGGAGCTGAGAGAAGGAAGGCATTCATCTGGGGTTTCTTGTTCCCTTTGCTGAGTTTGAGGAAGATGCTAATAGCTGAAAGAATTGCTCAGTGAGACAGTCCTACTCTGAGAAATTTCCAGGGCCCCTGGCTAGGTCATCTCCGAGGCACTGTGACCCACAAGTCATGGGTTTGCGCAGCACCCATGTGGAAGAGTAAGCAAGAGAGGAGATGCATGCCAGATGCACCATGCAGATCCACAGCAGAGAAGAATTTGAGTCACCCCATTGCTCCCCCTTTTTCCATGGTGTTCTGCTCCCTCAGAGAAGAGAGGAAAAAGCTGGGGGGGGGGTCTTTCAGAAAAGATGTTCGCACATTACAGCCCAGCACAAGAGGGCAGGAGCAGAGCAGTAGGCTTGTTCTTCAGCACAGAAGAAGAATCAGGGGAATCCTTCCCTGAGGGACACATGAGGCTCATTTCTTTGCACAGGGCATGACCGCAGCAGGTAGTTTTATTACCCTGGGCCCTGATGGAAGCTACTTTATGTGAGCTACTCCTCAGGCAATTCTGTGAGGCCCTGAGACTTTTTCTGTGTGTACTGGGCCTCCACCAGGGAAGACAGTATTGCACTTCAGCCAGACTGGGCTGCAAACTGTCCCCTCTGGCTCTATTCCCCTTTTTGTGACTTTCCACTTCCCTATTCGCTCAGCTTCCTGCCACCTGCCTCCTGCTTTTAGTTCTTGCTTTGCTTCTTCTCTTCTCCAAAACTCCCACCCCTCCCTTTCGCTGCCACCCTTTCCCCTCACTGTGCTGGTTTTTCACCAATTGCCATGCTCATTTGAAAAGTCTGGCTTTGAATTTGAGACTGAGATCATAACTAAAATGGGTGCTATGCAACTCAGGCCATGATGTCCTACAGCCCCTGTTAGACAAGTTGTGGAGCTGCTTCGCTCAGAGTCTTATTTCTAATATGCCTGTACTAGGGGCTTCTCAAACCTGAATTTTCACTCTCAATCAAAGCCCAGAAAAATGAAGTTCCTGTTCTTTCTGCATCCCCTCCAATCCCCTTGAAATATAGTAACAACAAACTACCTACATTTACATCATACACAATTTCAGCTTCTTGGCAAAACATAACTTGGCTTGCAAATGATATTTAATTAACCTTGGACTTACCTTGCTTTTCTGGAGACCAGCCCTACTGCAGCCAGGGGACAGGTGGTCCTAATACATTGTGTCATGGATGCTCATCCATCTTCAGAGCACAGCTGCTCTCAGTCTTGCCCTTTTTTGGGCAAAGGCGTTGGCCCTCTGTCATCTTCCTGTCTGGAGCACTGATGGAGGTTCACCTCCTCCAGCTCTTCTCCATGATGTGCCTGGGTAAGCAGAAGACGACGGCACAGCCCTTTGGCCATCAAGGCCACTGTGATGGCTTATTCACACTTGCACTTTCCTCGCTTGAGAAGTTGCTCCTAGAATCCTAAAACATACTGAATTTTTTTTTTGACTTGGCTTTGTCTTTTTCTCTAAATTTCTGCAAATCACCAGTGACTCTGATATCAGTTTCCATTCTTACAGACAGTTTGTTCTCAGCATGTGACAACCCCCACCTTGCTGGTACCATTCTATTATTTAATGCTGATAAATACCTATCAGTAACTAACTGCATCCTTTCTCACTAGGTGCTCAATTAGTTCAACAGCGTTTTCCAACTGCCTACTGTAGTGGGGAGGTAACGGGAACTAGAGATTATACGTGTTAACTCTAACTTGCGTGTAAACCACCCAAATGGGCTCTTTTGATTGACTTCTCCTTTTTGGCAAAGACACAAAGCTTCAAGCTTGCTGCACATCTGAGCCCAACAAAAAACATCTTTGGCTCTTAGTTCAGATCTATCAGACTCTAAGTGACCATCCTATAATCTTTATAACAGTTTTTTTTCCCTATGGCCTTTTATAATCCCTATCTTTCTAGCCTTAAAAAAATTTGACTTCAATTCCTTGAATTAGTAAAAGCACCTGGCAATAGGCTATTTCTACTACTCTGCACTAGTAGCTTTATTCACTGCCTGCACATTCTCATCCTGAGCTCTTGCTTTAGCAATCAGACTCCATGTTACTCCTCACACTGGACAAGGATTATTTTATTCTAATTGTTATACGCAAAACTGTGTTATTGCCTTCATTCTCCTGCTGTTTTACCTTGCATGGCAGCCTGAACCTCCCAGAGGAGCTACTGAATTTGTATGAAGCTGTGCTTTGTTTCTCTGAGGATAGTTGTCAGAATACAGTTGATATGTTCAGCCCAGAGAAATTTTGGCTTTGGCTTTGTTGCTCTCTTTCTTTCCCAGGATTTATCCTCTTGAAATTAGTAGAAATATTTATATTTCCTTTTTATTTACCTAATTATTTGAGGCCGATAACAATGAGTAAAAAAGTGCACCTACCCTGTTGGCTCAGTATTTCCCTTTATGACTCCCAGAACAACAGATCTTTCCAGCTCCAATTTAAATCCCTGTGTACAGTCAGGGAACTGCCCTGGGAGCAGAGATGGCTTATGGCAGCAGCCAGAAGTTGCAGCCGGCAGCAGGCAACAATCTGCCTAATCTGTCCATGCTTGATGAGATGGGAACTGCTGGTCCAGCCTAGATGTCCCTACAGACACTCCCACCTCCAGCTTGCACAGCCCCAGCCTAAGGCCACAGGGAAGGACAGTGTGAGGTTAGCACAGCTGGAAAGGTTGTGCAGCAGCAGTAGCAATTACTGGCTCTAAAGCCCTGTGCCAGAAGCCCTATTCTCCAGATATCTTCTACCTCTTCCTCTCCCTGTTCCAGCAGTTCCGGAATCATAGGAGACATTTCTCTCCCTCTCTCTGTTTCTCTTTCTCTCTCTCTCTTTACCTCTCCCTTTCTTTCTTTTCTTTTTCTTTTTCTTTTTCTTTTTCTTTTTCTTTTTCTTTTTCTTTTTCAAATAATGAAAGAGTTGTGTTGCAGCCTCCCCAAGGATATTTTCATGCCAGGGCCACAGAAGATGTATCATGTACTTAAGGACATTTCTAGGCTCTTTGCCCACTGAGATAATGTTGGTACCCACCTAGGTTCAATACACATCCATACTGTCTGTCTGGGATGCTCAAGGAAACCGACTGTGTCATCTGGGTCCAGGTTTCCTCTGGAGAGGAACTGTCTGGTTTGCTCCAGAAGGAAACCTGGAAGCAAATTTGTTTGCCTGCCTTATGAATGAATCTGGCACCAAGGACCTGAAATGTATCAGGGAACAAACCAAACAGACCAGTGAGACATATTTATCCTGCATTTTTGAAAGAATGGGAAATGGTCTAGGCTTAATTTAGTCATATGATCCTGTCTACTTTCCCTCATGAAAAACATCTCTTGCATATGTTTCATTATTACATGAAATAAAATTACGTAGTTTTGTAATAGTGTGCTTCCTATTCAGAGTTCTCTGGCTGAATTAACTGAAAGCATTTACATGTCACCAAGCACTGCTAAAAATGAGGCTACCAGAACTAGGAGAATGTGAGTAGTGGAAGTCATCATTGAACTGAATTAGTAGGCAAAGTCCCAAAATAGGATAGTCAGAAACACCAAAAGTGAGGCAGGAAAAGCTGGGGGAAGAAGGAAGCATCAGGGAGTTAAGAGATTAAGCAAGTATGGATTAGAGAAATCGGTAGGGGCTTTTCATTGGTCTCTGTTGGAGTGACTGAGAGTACTTCTGCAGTGTACAGAGCCATCCATTTTGTTGTTTGCAAGGTTTGGCCTGCCCACAGACACATGTATAAAAAAGTCCTGATTGAGTTGCCTATATATATAACCTATCCTTGAGGCAGGCAAGTTCAGGGCTTTCAAGGAAGCACCCTAGGTTGGCGTATCTGCTTGACATCCGCTGCAACATTGCTGAAACATACTTTTGCAGAAAACAATGATGGCAGGATTGGAGGTAGTGTGCTATGCCCAGCTCCAGTGCAATAATTGGGGCGTTGAGTTGGAGCTGCAGGACAGTGAATTCTCTTCTGCTGTGGCTCGAAACCTCAAGACAGAGACTGAGTTTATGAGGTGCAGACTCTTGGCAAGTTGTGACCAAGAGACAGGCTTCTGATAAACTTCATGGACAGACCTTCGGTGTGCTGAAGGTCAGGGCAGATATGGCTTATCTGACTGCATGAGTGTGGTGGTTTGAAATCACAATTTGCACTAATAAGGCTCTTTTCTCCTTCCTTCTCTCCCTCCCAAGTAAGGTTCTAGCTTCTTCTCTAAATATATTGGCCCTGACTATGGAAAGCAAGTGGGGAATGTTTGTCACTAACTCTTGCTGAAGATCACAGGTTATTTGTGATCCCACCTACAGCTGCCTGTCAGTATCCATTCTGGATTTCTGTCACCCCTTCACACAATGCCTTCAAGGCTGGGATATCTCCCACTTTCCACTGGAGGTTCATTAGAGTGCTTGTCCTCTCCAATAACAGCAATGAACCTATAGCATGACCACAAATAACAACAAATGCAAGAATGAGGAACCTGAGAGGAAGGGAGGGCAATTTCCATGTGTGCCTTTCTCTGTCAGGTTAAATAGACCTAGAGCAATGGACCTTACCCAGAAAGTTCAGGCAAATCCTACTTTTCACCTCATACATTTTTAAGTGACATTTTTTTCTGACAGCAGGATGTCAGACCAGTCTGAGTTAATGGGAATGTGAGAAGGACTTAGCTCCTCCTTTGCTAGTGAGTTCAGGACTTTCAGTCTCACAGAAACCTGTTTTAAAGTGTGGCAAGTGTGCGTAGATGCCAGCTCTGACTCCACGGCATGTCAGAGGGTGATTTCTTGTTTTTCTGCATGTGCAATGCTCTTGCAGTCTCTATCCTGCTGTCCCATGGACAAAGAGCAGGCAGAGGTCTGGACCTGTTTTGGTCCAAGGCCTGCTGTGAGTGCAGCAACAGCTGGGAGAGCTCAAATTGTGACTTGTCATGCGCTTCAGAGGTAAGTGCCCATATGTAAGTGTTGTATGGAGAAGAGCTGTCTCTCAACACTTCAGCCCTGTCAGAGGAGGGAAGAGACCTTCCTGGGCCTCACACCTGGTCTGAATTTTACATTGACCTATTTCTTCACAGTCAGCAGTTTTTCTGGCTCTGACATGCCACTTCTTTTTTCCCATATCCCCTACATCAGAGATCTACCACATAAAACAATAAGGATAGTGTACATGGCAACCAAGTACAATTAACTCAAGGGGAAGTATACAGCTTTCTGCGGCTGTATGGAAGGGATGGAGGAAAAAGAGCCCTTCTCTGCCTCTCAAATGAACTGAGCACCAAAAGTTCCCTCAAAACTGTCCTGCTAGTGCCAGCTCTCCCCTCTGGAAAGAGTAGCTCTAAATCTGAGAGAGGAGTTCTTTCCTCCTCTGTTCACTGCATCCTTACTTAAAAGGGTTCCCAAGAAAAATAATTTGTTATGGGAAGATGGGAGCAGATTTGGAGTACAAGTCATTCAGTGGGTAGTGAGGGAGGGAAAAGAAGAAAAAAGACCCTCTTATTCACCCCTTCCCCATCAATCACCCTCAAGTTTTTGAGTACTTATCCTCCTACAACCTTCTGCAGAATTAACACAGGAAGAATATTTCCTTTAAGATCAAACCACTTCCCAAATCTGACGCGTTTTCTGAATCAGGAACTTCCTTTTTTTCCTCTGTTATCAGAGTATTTCACGCAAAATCCCAAAGTACTATCAGTCTCTTACTGCCCATTTCAGTCCCTTCAAACACCCACACACAGACGCTCCCACCCCAAAAAGGCTGCTGGCAATGGAAATGCATTTGTGGGTTTGCATTTCAGAAGTAGTCAAAGAGCCTCTGTGAGCTCCTAGCAGTATGCACATACAGTTTCCTTCACTGATGTGAGCTCATGAGATGTGACCTGAGGGACGAGGAGAGGAAGGGCGGAGTCACAGGGCAACCCGCCCCTCTAATGCTGCTACGATTTTGATCACTGACTACAAGTCGCTTCAGTTCTGTGAAGCATCTGAACGAGCAGAAGGCAAGGAGGAACGGCACTCGTGTGGAAAATACACTGGGCTTTTCGGGATGGACTTTTGTCCTGCTGGTAAGCCTTGACCATCTTTTGTCTTATTTGCTGTTAAGGCCGTTCACCTAGTTTGATGGAGCATAGCACACTGTGAAATCCCAGCAGCGAGAGTGGACGCTGTGGCAGGAGGAACCAGGTGGCAGAGGATCCCTGGTGGTACAATTAATTGCTTGTCAGCCTCATGCAGTAAGCATAGTTTTCTTTTCACTTTTCTCCCCTGAGCAAGTTCTCTTCACATCAGGAGAAAATTTCCCACTGATCTGAATAGGCCTTTGTGCTGAAAGTCTCTGTTTCTGAGGTTCCCTGCACTAGTGATCTCGAGCTGAGTTGTGGAACTGACTCAGGGCTATCCGGTGTACACGTGGCACTTGGGATGAGCGCCCATAAGCTTTGGCTTCTCTTCATGCAGCTCTGGTATGGTTTGCAAGCTCCTCAGTAATGTTTCCCTAC